CGGCTTCAGCTTGGGGCGTTAAGCCCTGGAAAAGCACAGGCGTCTTCAGCAGGAAACGCGAGACCAACTGCCAGCCTGATTTGGGGAGGAAAAAGAAACAAGCGTCTTTTTAACAGTCACAAAAATGGATTTTAAAAAGCACAGCAGAAGGCCAGGAACAAAGCCTGGTGGCTGGCTTAGGAGCCCTGGAGGCGGGGTGGGGGTGGGGGACATTTGCAGGCAAGAGATTAACACCCAGAAAATAAAGAACAGGGCCCAGCCAGTAAGAGAAAGAGGTCAGGCTGGAGAAACCGAGAAAACCCCTACAGGGAGGAGTCCTGAGGCTTAGATGGGTGGAAGGGAAGGTGTGGCTGCTGGGGGCCTGCAAGCGCATCAGAGAACAGGGAACCCGCCACGCGCCCATCCGCACAGCGGACAACAGGACTTCACCTTACCGCTTGTAACAACTACCCCAGGGTGCTGCCAAAGGGGGCAGGCACGGCGTGGCTGGTCCAGGGGGCCCGGGGCAGGACGCCACGCCGCCCTGGAGCCCACTCCGCCAGCCGCCCCGCACATGGCGGGGGGCGCTGAAAGCCGGGCACGTGGACCGCTCCCTTGGCCGTTCTGCCCCGTGTGCTGCGGGCTCCCAGGTTGTTTATCTCACTCTCATCCAAGTTTATACAAAACCCTCTAGCCTGGGCTCTGATTCCCCGTGAAGAATGAGCTTTGGGCGGAAAACCGACGGGGAGGGGCTGGCCCTGGACGGTTCTGAGCCAGTGGTGCTGATGCCCCCTGGCACCCCCGCCCTCTGGCACCCCCGCCCCCGAGCCCAAAGCCTGGAGGGGCTGCCTGTGCCCTGGCCCCAAGGGGCAGCCGCATCACTACCGGATCGTCAGATCCCTGGGAGAGCGGGACTGACGCACACCAGGCAGCGTCCTCAGGGGCAGGGCCCGCCCCACGCCCACATAGCTCTGCAGAGGGGACAGTGGGGGTTCTGGCCCCCCAGCGTCGCTGGCGGGACCCCCCCACACCAGGAGCTGCATGGGAGTCAGGCTGCAGCTCCCACCTTTTAGTCCCTGGGGTGGGTGGGGGCCGCAGAGGCCGGAGAGGAGACCCCTGAGAGCCATCCCACTCTGACCCCACAACCCTGGTGTCCCCTGTAAGGCTCTCAGCGGCCTCCCGGGGTTGGGGCTGGATCTGCCAGGGCAGCAGGGTGGGGGTGACCTTGTCAGGGCCCAGGGGGGTTGACGCCTCCCGCTTCTGTGATTCTTTAAGCATCTCAGGGTTCAAGGATGTATGAACAAGCTCAGGGTCGGGCTCCTCCATCCCCGGGCACGCGGCTCGTGTCCTGAAAAGGCCGTGCTGCACAGGCGTGCCCACGGCTGCCGGGTCAGGGCCAGCATCCCTCCTCAGGATCCCACTTCTGGGCAGGAGGAAACGGGCTGCGCGTAGGGCAGGAAGCTGCCCGAGGCCACATGCTGAGGGAGGCCCTGGCTCCTCCCGGCCAAAGGTCCAGTCCACCAGCCCGGGGGTCATGGTCCGGCCATGCTCAGTCCTGAGCTGCTGCCTCGGCAGGTCCCCTTCCCCCTCTGAGCTTCCGTATTTTCATCTATAAAATACAGGTCATCCCAAGTCACTGAGTCGTGTCCGACTCTTTGCAACCCCATGGACTGCGGCCCACCAGGTTCCTCTGTCCATGGAATTTTCCAGGCAGGAATACTGGAGTGGGTTGCCATTTCCTCCTCCACCCAAATCTTAGGGCTCTTCAGAAATGCCAGAGGCAGACTCTGTCCTGCTCCAGTCTCTGTATTAAAGAGTGTGTTAAAATGCACACTCACATTTTAGAGTTTTTCTGAAAAAACAGCTCACAATTACTGAGCCGCTACTGTTCAGTCGCTCAGTTGCGTCCGACTCTGACCCCATGGACCGCAGCACGCCAGGCCTCCCTGTCTCCCACTATCTCCTGGAGCTTGCTCAAACTCATGTCCATCGAGTCGGTGATGCCATCCAGCCATCTCATCCTCTGTTGTCCCCTTCTCCTCCTGCCTTCAGTCTTTCCCAGCATCAGGGTCTTTACCAATGAGTCAGCTCTTCTCATCAGGTGGCCAAAGTATTGTAGCTTCAGTTTCAGCACCAGTCCCTCCAATGAGTATTCAGGACCAATTTCCTGAGCCATTACTATATGACAAGTTCTTGCATACATGGATTAACTGATTCTGTCCACAAAATGTAGGCATTATTATTTTCTCTATTCTACAGACAGGGAAGCCAAGGCAGACAGAAGTTCAATACCTTCCTAGCGGTGTCAGTATCAATGCTATAAATGGCCTCACAAAATGAGATGGGAAAGGTTCCCTCATTTTCTATTCTTTATACAGGTTTGTGCAAGGTCAGTGGTATTTCAACTGTTTAGAGAAATTCTTCAATGAAACCATTTGAACCTAGAAGTTTCTTTGTGCGAAGTTTTAAATTTTGAATTAAATTTATTTGTTATAGGACTATCCAGAATTTTCTATTGATTCTAGTGTCAGTTTTGGTAAACTATTTACATTTCAAATGAATTTCATAAAGTTGCTCACACTATCCTCTCATTACCTTTGAAAAATGATTTGGCTGTGCCGGGTCTTGGTTGCGGCATCGGAACTCTTAGTTGCAGCATGTGGGATCTAGTTTCTTGACCAGTGATTGAACTGAGGCACCTCGCTTTGGGAGCACAGAGTTTTAACCAGTGGAAAAATCTCTTACCTTTTTAATGTTTGTTATATCTGTGGTTATGTCCTCTTTTTCATTCCTGACATCGGAATTTGTGTTTCCTTTTTTTTTATCCATTATTTCCAGGGGTTTATCCATTGCATTCTTTTCAAAGCACCAACTTTTGGCTTGGTTGATTTTCCCCGAGTTTTGCTTTTTTCCCTACCAATTTCTGCTTTTATTTTTATTTCCTCTCACTTTGGGTTTAATTTGTTGTTCTTTTTCTAGCTTCTTGAGTTGCAGCTTAGAGCATTAATTTTCAAGCTTTTTTCTAAAGCTATAAATTTTCCTCGAAGGACTGCTTTATCTGCCTTTCGCAGCATTTAATGTGCCATATTTTCACTACTGTCCATTTCAAATTATTCTACAACTTCTCCTGTGATTTACTATTTGGCTCATTGATGATTTACAAGTGTGACATTCAATTCCAAGTCTTTGGAGGCTTTCTGGTAGTTTTCCTGTTTTTGAGTTTTAATTTATTTCAGAGAGGACACACTTGTATAATTTCAGTCCTTTGAAATTTGTTGAGACTTCATGGCCCAGGACATGATCTATTTTGTTTAACATCCTATGTGCACATGGAAAGAACATGCGTTCACAGTTACTAGGTGCAGTGTTGTATACACGTGAATTCAGGCAAGTGGGTGCATCCTGTTGTTTGAACTGTGGGATGCTGACTTAAGATAGAGAAACAGGGATGTCCCTGGCTGTCCACTGGTTAGAACCACTCTTCCACAGCGTGGGTTCGATCCCTGACCTGGGAACTAAGAACCCACATGCCAAAAAAGAGAGAAATGGAACAGTGGGACAGAAAAGCACCCAGAACAGACCCTCACATATACAGTCACTTGGTTTATAATGCGACTGTTCTCCAGTTCAGTGGGAAGAAGATGGTCTTTGCAATAAACAATGATGGTCCACTGGACATCCATATGGAAAAGACGAGCTCTGACCCCTACCATAATATTCACAAGAATTAACCTGCAATCCATCACAGAAATAAATGTGAATGATAAAACAATTGAGCTTCTAAAACAGGGGAGAATGTCCTAATGAAAAATCACTGAAGGTGAGAAAAGTGATACATTGGACGTCATGGAGAAAACTGTTCAACATACACAACAGCAAAGATGGCAGAAGATAATGGCAATAACTTCAATACAAAGCACACACAAATATCCATCTATCGATACAATGTCCAGCCATGTGTAAGACCAGGGACACAGCACCCAGAATATATAAAGAACCTCTAGGAATCAATAAGCTATCGAAGCCGGGTGTGAGCCCACGCGGCTGGGGCCCGCAGTAGGCTCTGTTCACCGGGCCAGGCGGGGACAGCTACAGCCCCCAGGCCCTCCCAGAGCGCGCCCTAGGAACTAGCTCGGTCCTCCTTAAGTGAGGAGGCGGCGGGGAAGCTCCGGCCTCGGCTCCGCCCCGGGGTTGCCTTTCCCTTAGAAGGCAAAGCCCCAAGCCTCGCCTCTCGCCGGCGGAGAGTCGCGCGTCTCTGCCCGAGCTCCCCTTGCCCCCCGACGACGCCGCCAGAGCCCCGGGAGGGCCCGAGGCCCCGCGCACTCGGCGCTCCAGCCGGCTCGGCGTAGACTGGGCGGGCACCGGGGCGGGGCGCGCGGCCTCGCGGGTTTGAATGGAAGGATCCCGAGCGGCGGGGGCGGCGGCCCGCAGGTCCTGAAGCCAGCAGTCGTCCCCGGCCCCCGCGCCCGAGACATGCGGCGGGAGAGGTGAGCAGGCGGGCGGAGCTATGGGGACGGCGAGGCCGGAGACAGGCACCGAGGATCGCGAGGCGCGGAGGCGGGCGGCCCAGGACGCGGGGCCGGGCCGGGGTCCCGGCGGCCGCCGGCAAGGCTCAGGTCGGGCCGTGCCCACGCCTCCGTCGCCCGCGCATTAGTCTTCGCGCGCGGGTGCGGCGGCCCCGGATCAAATCGCCATTTCGCCGCTGTCCCTCCTATCCTCGGCGGCCGCGAGGATCCTTGTGGTTGAGCTTGGCATCTGAAAGAATGTGACTCCGCGCTTTTAAAGATCTGGAGCACGAACCGCAGCGCTCACCCGCAGCCGGCCGGAGCCCTGCCCTGGAGCCCAGCCCCGCCCGGCCTCCCGGTGCGCCCCGGCCCGGCGCTCGGCCACGAGCCCCGGAGAGCGCCGCGCCCCTTCCCCGAGCCCCGCTGCCCGCCCTCCGCGCGGCCGGCCTTCCCCTTCGCAGCCCGGCCGGCGCGACAGGGCGGGCCCGTCTGAGCGCCGTCTGCCCGCAGGTGCGGCGCCCCCCGCCCGCGTCCCCGCCATGGAGGTGCTGCGGCGCTCCTCGGTCTTCGCCGCCGAGATCATGGATGCCTTTGACCGCTCGCCCACAGACAAGGAGCTGGTGGCCCAGGCCAAGGCGCTCGGTCGTGAGTTCGTGCACGCGCGGCTGCTGCGCGCTGGCCTTTCCTGGAGCGCGCCCGAGCGCGCCGCGCCGGTCCCCGGCGGCCGCCTGGCTGAGGTGTGCGCCGTGCTGCTGCGCCTGGGTGAGTGCGGCCTCCGCCGGCCGGCCGGCGGGGTCCCCAGGCTGCCCCTTCCAGCTAGTCCGGCGGACGCGCAGCGCCTCGGGTACAGCTGTCCTTGCACTGGCCGGCCTCTGTCTCTCCTCCCGGGCAGGGACGGGGCTGGTCCCTGTGCCCTGAGGGATCTATCGCGCAAGGCGGGCGGGGGTTTCTTCCAGCACCCCCCTCTCCTAGCTCGCCCTTCAGCTGGCCTGTTCACCCGTCAGACCTCCCCAGTCTGCCTGCTGAGCCCAGATTGCACACATCCTGGTCATAAAGAATAGAAAACTCCGGGAGGAATGATATTTTCATGGCTAAATTTCCAGAGTGACCCTTGTACTCAGCTGGGCACAAAAATCCTTTGTCGGACCACGTGTCCTGATGTTTGTTTTGGAAAATAGGTCCTCACAGTTACTGGCTGCAGTCCTGCGTGGGCTGCTCTTTTCTCTGGGTTTGGAAGCCTCCTTGGGCTCCTGTGGAAATTAGTGCCCAGGAGAGCAGAAACCGTGTGAGGCCGGGCAGCCGCAAACCCCGACTGCATGGCCTGCTGTGTAGACATGGAGGGCAGTACTTGATTCTGGGGTGATCGGGCTTAACTCTTTCCGTCTTCTCCAAGGACCGCAGAGAGGGAGGGGACCCTCTCAGCTGACTCGTCAGCCATCTCACCATGGAGACTGAGGTTGCCCAGTTCTACACCGCCTGGCGTGACGTTCCACGCGGGGAGTGTGCACTCAGGGGGGCGTGGGGGCACAGATGGCACCCTGACCCTGACTGGGTGGCTCTCCAGAGTGGGTTCAGAGACTGGCCCAGGACCCCGGGTTGGAGGGAGCACCCCGTGGAAGGGGATGCCTGCCTCTTCTCAGGCTGACACTCGTGTCTGCTGGCCCTTGTGTTCTGTGGACCCTGGGGGCAGGGCTGTGTAGACCAGGTCTGCCCAGAAGAATTGGCGTGGGGGCATTGCTGAGGGCTGCAGGAGGCTGGTGTCCCGCCTGGGTCTTGGGGGAGGGGAGCATGTGGGGTTTGAGGTTTCAGCCAACGGTCCAGAGTGCCTGTGCCCCCCTGAGGCCAGGGCCCAAACTGTTTCTTCCAGCTGGGCTGTAGGGACAAGCCTGGGCTGAACGTTCCAGAGGGCCCTGGAGAATTTGTTATCTTGGGCTGCTGAGAGGCCCCTGGAGTGGCCGGGAGGAAGTCCTTCCTCTGTCCTGCCCTGCCCTGCGGGCCTGCTCGCTCCCAGCTCCACAGCCTTGGCTGGAGCAGGGCCTCGGGGCCAGGGTCCCTGTTGTTTGAACTTGTCTGGAAAGCCCTGCTGCAGGCTCCGCTAATCACTGTCCCTTCCAAACTGTGACCTTGGATCCAGGGGGCCTGGGATGCTTCCGGCCTGGCCTGGGGGAGCAGAGTCCAGCCAAGTGGGCCACGCTGGCCCTCCCCTCCACCCCCCCCGCCGCCCCAGCTGCTTTCATGGCCAGTCCCTGGGCTCGGCGTCTGCCAGATGGCCAAGGGGGCCCTGGAGGGAGGTAGCTTGGACCCCCAGTGTTCTCACCCCCTTCTGTGGCCCTTGTGAGCTGCTCCATGTGAGCCCCCCCGCCCCTTGCTACGGCCTGGAGCCGTCCCCTGTCCCCAGCACCCCCAGCCCCTCCCCGGCACAGACGCCCAGCTCCGGGAGCAGCAGCAAAAAGGAAGAGGCTGGGGCACGCCCCCGCAGCTGTTCTCTGGGGGCCAGTCGCCCCCCGGGCCTGTGTGTGGGAATGGCCGGCCAGGCCTGCCCTGGGCGTTTCCATGCCACCGCCCGTGGCTCCACCAGCCTGTCTCAGTCCCGCTCTGGCTTCAGATCTTCCTGAATTGGATGGAGTGCAGCTGGCCCCAGGGCCTACGCGGCGCCCTTATCACCCGGACCTCCAGTGGGAAGCATTTCCCTGTTTGCTTTGGCTGGAGAAGCGGCTGGGCTGGGGGACACCCAGTGCGTGGGCCATGAGGGGTTCCGGTGCGTCCCTGCAGACCCGGCGCAGATGGGGCCCTGCGAGGGTGTTCCTTCACCGCCGGGTATCCCCGCCGGGCACCAGGAGCCCAGGCCTGCCGCCTCCGGGCAGTGGCTCGGCCTCTGGTTTCCTGAACGACGCTGGGCCTGGAGAGGCTGCCCAACCCCCTCTCCCCGCCCCCGCTGAGGCAGCCATGAGCTGCCCACCTGTGTGGGGTCGCTGGCCCCCGCCCTGCCCGCGTTGGGGTTGGCCGCCCGCCTGGGCAGCGCAGCAGCTCGCTGTGTGCTGTGAGTCACCCAGCAGGCATGCCCGGGATTCCCACCCCACCGGCCCAGCCGGCTCTGCCCTGGGGCATGGGCGTGGCCGACTTGTCGGAGGGCAGGCCGCAGCCAGGTCTGGGGTGCCCACAGCACGTCCCTGGCCTTGTCAGGGCATCTGGGGACCCTGGGTGAGGTATCAGACGGGTGGACACGGGACAGGTTGGGGCTCAGGGATCGGGCTAGGGTCAGGACCCCTGCTGCGGCCGTGGGCTGGCCCCCTGACCTGTGGGACCACTCTGACCTGCCCCTGTGCCCGCGCAGCAGACGAGCTGGAGCTGATCCGGCCCAGCGTCTACCGCAACGTGGCCCGCCAGCTGAACCTCTCGCTGCAGTCGGAGACCGTGGTGACCGACGCCTTCCTGGCTGTGGCGACCCAGATCTTCTCTGCAGGTGAGGCTTCGTGTCCAGGCCACGGACCCATGGTGCTGGGGGCCTGGGGCCTCGGGGTCGTCGGGGCTGGGGCTGCAGCACAGGTGGGCTTGTCAGCGAACCTCGCTGGGTCTGAGGGCGATGGGCCACGGGGCTGCTGGCTTGGGCCCCTTGTGGGGTTCTGGGGTTACCCTGGCCGGAAGTCCTGACTGGCGGCGTCTGTCAGGCCTCCAGCTGGCACTGCTGTTGGCCGACGTGGGGCCTGGGCTTCTCGCAGCGTGGTGCCCACTCCCTAGCAGCCAGAGTGGGTGCTGCCAGGCTCCTGGAACCTGAAAAGTCGCAGGGTCGCTGCACCAGAGTCTGCTGGGCAGAGGTGCCTGGCCAGTCGGCCCCCTCCGCGGGAGGGGCGCTCTGGAGTGGGGCTGCCTGGCCAAAAGGCTCTCTGGAGAGGGGTGCCTCATCTGGGTCAGCTGGCTCGCCCACAGCCCCTGTGGGTTTCCCAGAGCTTTCCTCTGGGCCCCGGTGGCAGGCGACATCTGTCCCTGTCACCTCCTTCCCATGCCCTCACCTGAGGGCAGCTCCTGCTCCTGTCCGCACACCTGCCTCCAGGCTCATGGGAGACCCCCGGACTCGTCCCCAGGCCCCTCCCATCCCCACGTCCCCTCCCGGGAAGCCTGTGGGCTCCCTGTGGCCCACCTGTGACCCGATGCCCTGCTTGGTGCACATGCCTCAGTCCCAGGTCCTGGTACCGGCCAGGCGCCAGGCATTGCCTGGCGTCTAGGAGTAGACCCCGCCCAGGGGAGCACCTTCTCCGTGGCCGACCCTGCCTGCCCCCCAGCTCCTGGCTGATGGTGGTCCTGGCCTCAGGGAGGGGTCCATGCGGGTCCACAGCTGAGTGCTCGGGGCTGCATCCCGGCTAGAGGACGGGTGTGAGCGGCCAGGCAGCATTGAGGGTGGGGAGGGCCCCCTTCCCCCTGGGGCTTTGGGGGCACAGCCTCCTGCAGAGGAGGGTCCCAGGCAGCCGGGAGGCCTTGAGCTCTTGGCCGACCGGTGGTGTGACCCCGCGCTCACCCTGCCTCTGCTCAGCCGAGGCGTGCTTAGCACCGAAGGGCTTCGGGGCAGGGGCGCCCGGAACACAGTCCCGCCCCGAGGGGGACCCTCCGCTCACCCACTGAAGACGGGGGGCCGGATAGAGGGGCTGCAGGCCCGTCAGAGGCCCTGTCTGATGACCCCACCCTCGGCGTGTTGCCTTCCCGTGTTCCCCTCTGAGGAGGCCTCCTGACCCGTGGAGGGCAGGCCGGCGTTGAAGGTGGGGGACACGGGGCCACCGGCTGTGGGCCAACCTCCACAGGGTCAGCGCGGGTCTCCCTGCAGCGCTCGCCACCGGCAGGACCCCGAGGTGTGGGGAGAGACCGGGGTGCCCTGGAGGGCCTGACAGCCTTCACCCGGATGGGGCTTGCTCGGGGGCCTCCAGGCTGGCCTGGTGGAGAAGGCAGCGGGAGGGACCAGGCAGGAAGGTGCGCTGCGGGCCCCTGGGTCTGCCTGCTGCTCTGGGCGCCCCCACCAGGCCGCCCGGCCTGACACCATAGTGAGGGTGGCCGCCTGTGTCTGTCTCTGAGCTGTCGGCAGGCAGCTGGTTTATGAGCCGAGAGCTGGCTTTAAAAGGAAGGGTCATCTCTGGGAATGCGGCCAGGCGGCAGGGGGCTGGGGCCCAGGGCGGTGGCGGGAGGGTGGGGGGCAGGCTGCACCGTCCAGCCCTGCCTGCCCAGCCCGTTCAGGTCCGGCGACTAGAGACGAGCCCAGAAGGGTTGTGGGTTCCAGGAGGGCCTGGGAGGCCGGGAGGGAGGTGTGCCCTGGGGACGGAGCGCAGGGCGCGCGGGCACGGTGGCTTGTGGAGCTCAATCTGAAACTGCAGGGGCTGTGCCCCCCGGGCTCAAGCTCCCCTGCTGCCCTCCGCCCCTCGCCCCGCGCCCCAGCCCCAGCCCCAGCCCCGGGCCGGACTCCACCCCCTCCTTGTGGCAGCCCCCACGCCCGCCAGTTCCTCCTCACTGTGTGCGCTGCAGGCAGTTTCTCAACCTCTGGATCCCAGAACCCGTGCGGCCTCTCCCCTGCAGCGGGGCCAGGCCCGCTGACCCCCGGGCTGGCCCACGTCCCCTTCACCCTCCTGGGCCAGCCCCTCTCCTCTGTGGCCGGTGAGGTGGGCAGCTCGAGGACTGCAGGGTAGGGCTTGGGGTGCCCCACCGCGTGGTCGCACCCTCCACTCGGCCGAGCTCCCCACATGCTGCGGTGGGGATGACACTCCCACTGCGTCTTGGCTGGAAGGGTCTTCTAGTTTCCCTTCGGTGGGAAAACATGAAGTTGGCAAGTATTTTCATTTTCTTACTTCTCATTACAAGAAGAAAGTATTTTACCATGGAAAAATCAAAGCATACATGAGATAAAGAACTCTCAGAAATCTGTGCTAAAAAGGCAGCCTCACTGAAACATGAGCAAAGGATCTGAATTGTTGTCTCTTCTGAGATGTCTGTGAGAAGTCGATGACCTCCATCAGTCACCAGGGAAATGCACATCCAGCCACCAGACTCTACCTCGCTCCCCCTGGGGGGTGGAGGCAGGCCTTTGGAACCCAGCACGCAGGAGGCCTCCAGGCGCCGGCCACCACGGTGGACCGCCTGTCAGCTTCTTCAGTTGGGTGACTCTGATGGCGTCCCCACCTGACCCCGCACTTCCACACCCTGGGGTTCGCCCCGAGAAGGGAAGCCATGTGTCCACACGGGGCTTGTCTTTGGGCCTTCAGAGCCTCACAGCCAAGCAGCAGACGGACCCTCAACTCAGGTTCGTCTCCTGATGGGCGGTCCGTTCACGCGATGGAGCCTTGCTCGGCGGTAACAAGGAAAGCGGTGTGATGCACAGGATGACTCGAGGAGCCTAGAAAACGTTTTGCTCCATGACTGGAGTCAGACACGAAATGGGACCTACTGTGTGATTTGATTCCTGTGAAATGTCCAGAACAGGTCATCCGCAGAGACGAGCAGAGGAGAGATTGCCAGGAGCTGGGGCGGCAGGGACACCATGCTCATGGGGACAGGGATTTGGAGTAAAATGCCTGGAATTCAGCAGTGGTGGTGGCTGTGGAACATTGTCAACACACTAAGAACACTGGATCTCACATTTTATTTTTAAAAAAATTATCTTTGCCCAGGAAGCATTCTTGACCATTGGGGCACCAGGGAAGTCCCATCTGGGTCGTCTTTTTAAAGTTTTTGGATCTGACACTTCAAAAGGATGAGTATGGTAGTGAGACTGCTGTCTGCTTAGTTGCTCGGTTGTGTCCGACTCTTTGCGACTTGATGGACTGCAGCCTGCCAGGCTCTTCTGTCCATGGGGTTCTTCAGGCAAGAATACTTGAGTGGGTTGCCATGCCCGCCTTCAGGGGATCTTCCCGACCCAGGGATCAAACCTGGGTCTCCCACATGGCAGGTGGGTTCTTTACCACCACAAGCCTGGTAGTGAGACAGTGTCTCCATAAAAAATAACACTAAGAGCTCAGAGAAAATAGGACATAGCCAAGACCCATGTGGGAGACCAGCCTGCTGGCAGCTCCCAGACCAGAGCTTTTCTCTTCAGGTAAAATGTGGCGGTTGCACGGAGTCCACGTGTCCACCTAGGGTGCCGAGTCCGGGGGTCCCACCAGGGCTGGTGTGCCGTGAGCAGCTGGTGAACGGGGAACACGGGCTGATGGCGCTGTCCCCAGGACGTGGCGCCTCTGCGGCCTGGGTGCCCCTTGGAAGGGTGGGGAGCCCCACGGGCAGCGCTGAGGCTGGGGTCACGGGCCCAAGGCCAGCGGCAGGAAGGCGGCCCTGGGGGCCAGGGGCCGGCCTGGGGGACTTCAGATGTGGATCTACTTTGCAGGGGGTGAGAGTCACAGCAACAGGCAGGCCTGGGGCGCAGAATGGCCTGCTTTATGGGGTTTTTACATTTTCGTTTAATTGAGGGGAAATTTACCTGATATCTGATTAACTGTTTTATTTGTTGTTTGACCTCACCACGGGGTGTGTGTGATTGAGCTCCCCGACCAGGGATCACACCTGGGCCCTGCACTGGGAGCTCGGCGTCTCGGTCACTGAACCCTGAGGGAAGCCCCGGTTAAGCGTCTAGAGTGTGCGATTCGGCGGCATTGGTCCAGCCGCCGTGTTGCTCAGCCACCGCGCAGGCCTGCTAAGCTGTCACTGCCAGCCCTGGGGCCCCCCGCTCTTCCTCCTGTCTCTACGGCCCTGCCTGGGAATGGACTCACACCTGAGTCTGCGTCCCTCACGGACATGTTGTTTCGGCAGGCGTGGTCCCAGCCCCATCAGAGCTCCTGCCTCTGGAGGCCAGATGACCTGATGTGCAGATGGCCCACCTCTTGCTCTTCCACTCACTGTCTCGCTGTCTTGTCATCTCCGCCTTCTGGTGGCTGCTCAAGTGTTCCTTTGCGTTGATTTGTGCTCCTGTGACTGACCGTCCCTGGGAACAATGGGTCTAGGGCCTGCTTTCCCCACCTGTGCTGTTCCTGCCAGACCAGGCCCAGGCCCCCAGGGGCTGTCCTCTCACAGGTGATGCCAGTGCCCTCTTAGGTCTTTCCCGTCACAGGTACCAGGCTGCAGGGTTACCTGGATCCGTACATTGCCACTTTGAATTTTCAGCCTGATAGACTATCCTTTACATCGTGTTTTAATTTACGCTTTTTTGACTTATCAGTGAGGGTTAGCATTTCTCACATGTCTAGTGTATTCAGTTCAGTTCAGTCACTCAGTCGTGTCCAACTCTTTGCAACCCCATGGACTGCAGCATGCCAGGCCTCCTTGTCCATCACCAACTCCCGGAGCTTGCTCAAACTCATGTCCATTAAGCCGGTAATGCCATCCAGCCGTCTCATCCTCTCTTGTCCCCTTCTGCCTTCAGTCTTTCCCAGCATCAGAGTCTTTTCCAACCAGTCAACTCTTTGCATCAGGTAGCCAAACCTACTGTTGGAGGCTTCAGCTTCAGCATCAGTCCTTCCAATGAATTTTCAGGACTGATCTCCTTTAGGATGGACTCTTTGGCTCTCCTTGCAGTCCAAGGGACTCTCAAGAGTCTTCTCCAACACCACAGTTCAAAAGCATCACTTCTTTGGCACTCAGCTTTTTTTATAGTCCAACTCTCACATCCATACATGACCACTGGAAAAACCATAGCTTTGACTAGATGGACCTTTGTTGGCAAAGTAATGTCTCTGCTTTTTAATATGCTGTCTAGGTTGGTCATAACTTTCCTTCCAAGGAGTAAGCGTCTTTTAATTTCATGGCTGCAGTCACCATCTGCAGTGATTTTGGAGCCCAAAAAAATAAAGTCTGACACTGTTTCCACTGTTTCCCCATCTATTTCCCATGAAGTGATGGGACCAGATGCCATGATCTTAGTTTTCTGAATGTTGAGCTTTAAGCCAACTTTTTCACTCTCCTCTTTCACTTTCATCAAGAGGCTCTTCAGTTCTTTGCTTTCTGCCATAAGGAGGGTGTCATCTCCATATCTGGGGTTATTGAGATTTCTCCCGGCAATCTTGATTCCAGCTTGTTCTTCATCCAGCACGGCATTTCACAAGATGTACTCTGCCTATAAGTTAAGTAAGCAGGCTGGTAATACACAACCTTGACATACTCCTTTCCCAATTTGGAACCAGTCTGTTGTTCCATGTACAGTTCTAACTGTTGCTTCTTGACCTGCATACACATTTCTCAGTGGCCACAGGACTGGAAAAGGTCAGTTTTCATTCCAATCCCAAAGAAAGGCAATGCCAAAGAATGTTCAAACTACCAAATAGTTGCACTCATCTCACACGCTAGCAAAGTAATGCTCAAAATTCTCCAAGCCAGGCTTTAGCAATACGTGAACCGTGAACTTCCAGATGTTCAAGCTGGTTTTAGAAAAGGCAGAGGAACCAGAGATCAAATTGACAACATCTATTGGATCATTGAAAAAGCAAGAGAGTTTCAGAAAAATATCTACTTCTGCTTTATTGACTATGTTTAGTGTATTATTAGTATTTTTTATTTTGTGAATTAGCTATTCATAATTTGTCCTCCTGTTTCTTTAGAAAGTGTTGAAAGTGAAAATGTTAGTTGCTCAGTCGTGTCTGACTCTTTGGGACTCCATGGACTGTAGACTGCCAGCCTCCTCTGTTTGGATCTCTCAGACTAGAATACTGGAGTGGGTAGCCATTCCCGTCTCCAGGGGATCTGTTCTTTTTTTTTCATCGATGTACAGAATCTCTTATGTGTTAAGGAGCTTTTTATGACCGACAGGCGTTCGTCCCCAGGTTGTCACAGATCTGTCCTCCCAAGGAGGCTCCATCTGCCCTTAGCAGCTTGGTGCCTGGGGACGGCCCTCCCTCCTGGGCCTCAGCTCGCTTCTGCAGAGAGCGCCCCGCTCTGTTCAGGGGCAGCCAGGCTGCAGCAGGTGCAGCGGGGAGCAGCGCGCTGTCCAGTGCTCCCAGTGCCCGGTCCCTGAGCCCCCAGGACCCACTCAGGTCCCTCGTTGCCAAACTGCTTTTCTGCTCCGTCGCTTTCTCCAGCAGAGGTGGGCTGGGCCCTCCCAGGCTCTGGCCCAGGTGTGCAGCAGAAGCTTAGGACATCCAAGAATGGCTCATGGGGCTGGCAGAGCTGACCTGAGCAGTGATGGCCGGGACTTGCACGGCAACCAGCTGGTCGAGCTCCCTGTTTGACTGGGAGCTGGTGGTCAAGGCTAGCCCTGGGTGCTGGCCGCAGTCCCTTTCGGGGTGGCAGGCGCGTGGCTCTGGGAGGCTCAGGCCTTCACGTGACCCTGTGGCCTGGCCTTAAGCGGGGTCTTGGTGGCCTTTGGTGACCCGCATCCCTCTCTGTCCCTGCAGGCATCACGTGGGGCAAAGTCGTGTCCCTGTATTCGGTGGCTGCGGGGCTGGCCGTGGACTGTGTGCGGCAGGCCCAGCCCGCCCTGGTGCACGCCCTCGTCGACTGTCTCGGGGAGTTTGTGCGGAAGACGCTGGCAACCTGGCTGAGGAGGCGTGGCGGATGGGTGAGGGCGCGCGAGGGGCCGGGCAGGGGCTGGCTGAGTGCCTGGGCTCCCATGGCGGGAGTACGGGCTGGAGGGGAGGGGGTCGCGGCTGGAGCTGCAGCCCAAGGCTGACCTGTCCCCGGTGCTCCCGGGGCGTGCCCACCCCCCAGAGCTAAGCCTGCTGCCCGCCCATGGTGGGGTCAGAGCCACATCCCCACTCTGTCTCTGGATCCCCCATCACCTGCCCAGTGCTGGCCCGGCCTGGGGCTGCTGGGAGCGGTGCCTTCTTTGTACAGTGGGTGGTGGCAGAACTGTGTGCAGCCCACCGGCCGCGGGGAGCCACGGTGGAGGCGGGGGAGGCAGGGGCAGGGAGGGTCTGACTGCCTGACTCACGGCAGGCAGAACACGGGCAGCTCTGTCCCCTGCCCGTCCTGTCCTCGGGCCTGGCGGGGCTGGGCGCCAGGGCAGCCAGGATGCTGACTGACAGGGTGGCCAGAGGTCAGGCTCCGGGGCTGCGCTCCTTAGCAGGACTAGAGAGAAACAGGGAAGTCAGGAGTGGCTGCCCGCTGGGCTCCTGTTGTGGGGTCACCCCCACGGCGTCTGCAGGGGGACAGGGGTGTGTCCTGCTCGGGAGCATCCTGCCTCTTCATGTCCGACCTTGGGCCTTCGTCCAGCTGGACCGCAGGCACCTCCTCAAGCGGCGCGGCCGCCTCAGGCGGGGCGGGCCTGCGCACCCCGCTCCGCGCTCTGACTGTGCCCTCTCCCCTCTCAGACAGACGTGCTCAAGTGTGTGGTCAGCACCGACCCGGGCCTCCGCTCCCACTGGCTGGTGGCCGCGCTCTGCAGCTTTGGTCGCTTCCTGAAGGCTGCCTTCTTCATGCTGTTGCCGGAGAGATGAGATGCTGGCTTGGGCAGGGGCCCAGGGGGCCCTCCGCCCCACCCCAGCCGGGAAGACCCTCGGAGCCGCCCCCGAGTGGACAGTGGAGGCCCTGTCCTGAGCCCCTCCTGCAGAACCCAGGCCCTCTGGACGGAGGTGTGAGGGTCTCCCCCGGGCCTGAGCTGGGCTTCAGTGCCGACCCTTGCGCCCAGCTCCCCCCGGAAGCCCTGCCCACCGCCTTCTTCCTGGGCCAGAAGGCCACGCCGCGTCCTGGCCCTGAAGCAGGAAGTGGGAGCCACGTCCATGTCGGGACCGTGTCAGGACCGGAGCTGGCCTTGGTCCTCAGGGAGGGGCCGTGGACGTTCAGCCTGGAGGCGCCTCTGGCTTGGCCGAAGCTGGAGGCGCCGTGGGGCTGGCTGACCCTGCACACCGAGTGTGAGTCCGCTGTGATGGCTCCTGATCCACTTCTGGGGGTCAGATGTGTGCCCCACGCGTGTGTCGGGGTCCCCGTGTGGCAGGGAGCCGTGGGCGCGCGAGCCCGTGGATGAGGACGACGGTGTGTGTCTGACCCCAGTAAAGTGTGGTGGCCGTGGAGGGTGCCCATCTGCCTGCCTGCACCCTCCTCCTGCGATGGGCGGCGGCGGCAGCGGCCCGGCCGTGATGGATCAGCAGGGGCAGAGCCGCCCCGGGGCCCCTCTCAGGGAGGCCGCCTCACACCACCCTGTGCCTCGCCGGGCTCACGCACACACGCACGTGCACACACTGGCACTCGCGTGTGCATGGCCCTGCCCTTCATGGTGGTCAGCTCCCCCCCCCCCCCCCCCCNCCACTGCAGTGCCCTCCGGCCGTGATGGGGGCGGCCCCTGGAGCAGCCCCCCGCGGCCCGGCCGTAGGCACACGGCTGGACGTGGCCTCTCTGCCCTGGTTCCCTTTCTGTACAAGGCAGGGGGCACCAGATGGCCACATTGGCCACCTGGCCCTGCCTCCTGCGGGAAGAGCCCAGATGCCAGCTTGTGTGCACACGGGGCGGCCCCGCGCCCCCCTCGGGGCCCGTCTCCCAGCCCCAGGCCCCCAGGACCACTCTCCTCAGCTTCCTTCCTGGGGAGCGGGCAGGGGCCAGCACCACCTCCCAGCTGTGCCTGCTCCATCTGCAGGGAGGGGCATCCCAGGGGCGCCCGAGGCGGGAAGAGGAAGGGTCCCCCTGCGCCCTGCTTCCGGTCACTGGGATCAGCCCCCTGGGACATTTCCAGCACCAGGAGCTGGTGCCACAGACACAGAGGCAGAAAAGCAGCAGGTTTCAGGGCCCCGCGGGGAGACTGGGCGTGGGGGGCGCGCTGGGCAGGAGATACAGGGGGGACGCGCCCTTTCCAGCATCACAGAAGGTGACTTTGTGAGGGAAAGATGGAGAAGAAATATGAACCCCGTGTGAGGCAAACTGAAGCTTCCTCAAGGACACCTTAGACTTAGTCAGATGGAGAAAACCCCTTGTTCTAGAAGAAAACAGTCTCGTAAAGCCATTTCTCTACAAGTAATTGAGTTTATAACTTTAACATAATTGTTATGAAACTGCTTGGTCACTCAGACGGTAAGGACTCCGCCTGTAATGTGGGAGACGCGGGTTGGATCCCTGGGTCAGGAAGGTCCCCTGGAGGAGGGCATGGCAACCCACTCCAGTATTCTTGCCTGGAGAATCCACGGACAGGGGAGCCTGGCAGGATACACAGTTCATGTGGTCACAAAAGAGTGGGACGTGACTGAGGAAAGCATCTTCCTCTTAAGAAAGTCCTAGAGTATGTTTCCCCCTCTGGATCTAAACAAGTTAATTATAAAGTTCACATGAGGAGGGGGAGGGCAAAAACAGCCAAGAGAAGCTTTCCAAGAAGAGAAACGAGGAAGGTCTGGACCTCCCTGCCTCTGGGTCTCCCCTCAGACCACCAGGCCCCGGCCATGTGCAGACGCGCAGGCACAGGGACACGGGGCCCGCAGAGACAGACCCTGGAGCCTGGAGAACCGAGTCCATGACGAGGTGAGGGAGACGAGGTCGTCAGCAAAGGTGACGAGCAGTCAGCGCGGAAAAAGACCACATCGAACCCGGGCGTCACACAGACGTGAGACAAGTCACAAATGGGTCCAAGAGCCAAGTGTGAAAAGTGAAGCAAGTGCTGGGAGCAATGTGTGAATTTCTTTGTAACTGGGGAGTGGGCAAAACCTAAACGTGATTTAAAATCCGAGAACAAGCGGATGTCCCTGGTGGTACAGCGGGTGAGAATCTGCCTGCTGGTGCAGGGGACGGGGGTCCGATCCCCTGTCCGGGAGGGTCCCACACGCCGCGGTGGGGCAGCTCCTGAGCGCGGGCTCCGCAGCAAGAGCAGCCCCCGCTCACTGCAGAGCAGGGAGCCTCTGCAACGAGGAGACGAAGGGCAGCCGTGAAACAACACATGAGTTCAAAAAATAATAAATCATAAAACCCAGGAACGAGAAAAGACAATATACTTGATGGGGAAAAGTGTTTATGACATTTATATATGTGCTTATAACATATATATCAATATACTTGATGAGGAAACGTGTTTATGACATTTATATATATGTTTATAGCATATATATCAATATACTTGATGGGAAAAGGTGTTTATAACATTTATATATATGTTTATAACATATATATCAATATACTTGATGGGAAAAGGTGTTTATAACATTTAGTGTTTTCAAAAGTCACTGCAGCCTGAGGCAGGAAGCAGAGGGTGGTGTGTGGGGTGGGCAGGGGAGTGACTAGGGGCCATGGGGCTTCTTCCTGGGGTGACAGGCTGTCTGGAAGGAGACTGAGGTGGTGGCTGCATGCACGCAAATGTACAAAGTGCTTCTCAGCTGTACACATGGGGACGCCGTGGAACAGTGAACTTCACGTTGTAACCGTGCATTTCACCTCCATGAAAGGCTGTAGTTGAAAATCAGGAAGATTATAATTCAAAAGAACTTAGCCTCAAAAGTCAAGAAGGAAAGACAAAGCTGAAATGCAGACCCGAACTGCCCCAGGATCCCAGGACCCCAGTCCTCAGCTATCAGGTTGGCTGCATCCAGATCTGACCACAGACTGGCTCGGGGCAGGACACCTCACACTTGCTGTGGGAGGCAAAACAGCACAGTGCCCATGGGGAAGGCAACACCTGGGCAAGTCCCGCGTGCGTTTGCCCTCGGACTGGTAATCCTGCTTTGAGAAATCTGTCCTAAAGATACACTGGCAGAAGCCCAAAATGACATGTACACAGTTATTCATTGTGACAATATTTGATTAGCAAAAGACTGGAAACAGCCCAGAGGCCCAGCATCAGGGCGTCTGTTGATAGACCGTGGCAGGGCTGCCAGGTGGGGGCTCTGCACGCACGTGAAGCAAAACGAACCTGGTTTTACAGGGTTTCTTTAATTTCTTTATCTGGCTGCGCTGGGTCCTCGCTGTGGCCGGGCTTCGATCTTCCTGGTGGCATGTGGAGTCTTTAGTTGCAACATTCAGATTCTCAGTTGCAGCATGTGAAGTCTAGTTCTCTGACCAGGGACGGAACCCAGGCCCTCCATCCTGGGAGTGCAGAGTCCCAGCCCCTTGGCCACCGGGGAAGTCCATTTTACACTATTGACAACAGGGTCACATCAGTGATTTGCAAAAGCAAAGCTAACTTAAGAGAAACAATCAATTGTAGAAATAAACAAATGAGTTTGTATAGTGAGTTGGTGACATAAGCACCTGGAGAAAGTAGTTATTCCAACTATAATATTTTTTAACATTATATACTCAGTGTGAAAGCTGTAAAAACAGTAGCAGAAAACTGACTTCAATTAGTAGTCTTAGCGACAATATGACCATCCTGAGCTAATCATGTGTGTCCTGCGGGGGTTTAGTCGCCCAGTCGTGTCCGACTCTGTGGCCCCGCGCACTGCACCCCCAGGCTCTCGTCCTTAGTACTACTCACCCAGTCTTGTCTAACTCTTTGCAACATCATGGAGTCTAGCCTGCCAGGCTCTTCTGTCCATAGAATTTTTCAAGCAAAAATACTGGAGCTGGTTGCCATCTCTTTCTGTGGGGGATCTTCCCCACTCAGGCATTAACCTGGGTCTCCTGCGTCTCCTGCACTGGCAGGTGGATTCTTTACCACTGAGCTGTCAGGAAGTCCTGTGTATCCTGTAGGAGAAAGCAAATAATGATAAACAAGATTTTTTCTTAAAAGAGGTGAAATGAAAGAATTTAAGTAAGAAATTTTATAATCTAAGAATCAGAATTGGAAATATCAGTGTGGGTGCACAATTTTTTTTCCTTTCTTAAAGAATACACGTATCCCATGCTGAAGCACTGGGGAGTGAAGGGCCGTGTGATGGCAAATAGCTCATGGAAATACCTGGGGGCGCTGTAAAGGGGGCCGGTGCTGCTCCAGCCTCTCACCCCCACCCCTGCTGGAGAAGGGGCGGGTGCTGCTCCAGCCTCTCACCCCCCACCCCTGCTGGAGAAGGGGCGGGTGCTGGGGCAGAAAGTGGGCACAGAGGCCATCAGGGCAGGAAGTGGGCAGAGGCCATCAGGGTCTCTGTCCGGCTAACTAGGGTCACGTGGGCACCTCCATCTGCTGCAGAAAGACTGGACTTGACTAGATTGCATCACACTTACCAGGAGTGTTGGGTTTCTCGCAGAAGCAGGATGGGTGGAGGGAGGCGTGGTGTGAGGAGGCTGGTCCCGGGCCAGCCCTGGTGTCCCTGCACGCTTGCTTTAACACTGCACACCAGAGGGAAGAGACGAGCCTTCCGCTGGCTCCGGTGTGAACTCTTTCAGAGGAACCCAACCTGAGCCTAACTGAATGGAGGGAAGATTTTCTAAGAGAATTCTGCCACTGAACGCAGACGTGGGGACAGGGTTAGGAGACGACCCTTGGGCAGCTCTGCTGAGGGGCTGGTCCAGGCAGGTGGGGTGGGAGAAACAGAATGAAGCGGGCAGGCTGCCTCCGTCTGTGTGGTAGTATCAACCCTGAGGCGGGTGGGCTCTGCATGGGTAAACCGTGGGCAGCCCTTGGGAAGGGTGATCCAGCCTCCAGGCTGCAGAAAACGGGGCAGAGGAACAAGGAGGGGGCTGGGAGTGCCCTCCGGTTTCCCAGCCCGTCAGCCGCATGGGTGGGGTGCAGAGAAAAAGACCACCAGAGGACTGTGTGGGTTATCCGCTTCTGTCCCTGTTTTATGCCCCACCTTCCCTGCTCTGCTCTGGGGCTGCTCACCCTTCCCGCACCCAGCTGTGAGAAGGGAGGAGCCTGGGGTGAAGGAGGGAGGAACTTGGAGTGCAGGAGGGAGGAGCCTGCAGTGTAGGAGGGAGGGAGTGGGCTTCTTGGGTGCTCCCAGGTCCTCTTAGCATCATTCCAGCAACAGAGATGGCTCTGGCCTCAGCCTCCAGGCTGAGCTTGATGTGACCTTGGAGCTGTGGTCTGAATGTCTGTCTTCCCCCAAATTCATATGCTGAAATCCTAACCTCAACGTCGTGGAAGGAGAAGGTGTGGCCTTGGGGGGACTAGGTCGGTGACTGGGACAAGTACCTGCCTGGTTGACCCTAGAGAGCCAGCTCAGCACTCCCGCACATGAGGTCCAGTGGGCATCCGTCCAGGGGAAAACTCCCGTCAGCTGGTCACCAGCACCCATGGTTTTCGGCCTCTAGGACGCTGACAAGTAAATTCCTATTGCTTAACAGCCAGTCAGTCTGTGGTATTCTTGTTAAAGCAGTCTGAAGGGACCAAGTCAGAAAATTGTTACTGAGACGCACATGTGGAAGTGGCTTTGGAGCTCAGTGGTTGGAAGAGTTTGAAGATGGGTGCTAGAAAGCATCCAGTGCTGTGAATGGACGGTTGGGGCGATACTGGGGACCCGGGAAGAGAGGAGAGCTGTGCAGGAAGCCTCAGCCTTCTTAGAGAACACCCGAGTGGCCTGAGCAGAACGTGGGGAGGAACATGGATATGCTGACCTGAAACAATAAAACAGCCAACTTTTTATCAACAAAGTGGGTTTATTCAGGAACAGCAAAGCATTGCGTTTCAGGTCAGAAACTGTGGTGAGCCACAGGCAAGCCCAGGGAAGAGGAGAGGAAGCTGTTTTATAGGAGACAGAGGTCAGAGGAGCTGCTTTAGAGTCCACTGGGGCAAGCGGGCCCGAAGCGTGAAGGGTTCTCATTGGCCGGGCTGTTGCCGGGCAGGGAGAAACTCTTCCTCCTGCGGGTGGTGACCGGCTTCTGGCTGGAGGCCAGGTGGTCCCCTCATGTGGTGACATCCAGTGGGACTGGCTGGGAGCGCCCCCTTGGGGCCTGCCCACTCAACATTTTTTTAAATTAACACAGTGTTTTGGCCATGCTGTGCAACTTGTGTGATTTTAGTTTCCTGCCCAGGGATTGGCCCCAGGCCCTGGGCAGTGACAGCACAGTCCTAACCATTGCACCACTAGGGGAGTCCCTCCTGGCTCCAGCTTAGCAAGGCTTCCGTTCACTAACTTGGACAGGTGTAAAGGCCAGTCTGACGAGATCTGATGGAAACGGGAACGTCTAACACAGGGCTTGGCTGCGCTGTGTCCTAGGCTGCAGGAAGAGCTCGGGGACAGTGACCCGGGTGTCCAGCTGGGAGTCTCCAAGCAAAGTGCAAGTGCCTTGTTTCCCTCGGACACAGAGCCCAAGATGTGAAGGCAGAGCTGTCAGCCAGGAAGAACCAGACCTGAAATTTGGAAAACCCTCAGCCTACTGACCTTGAGTAGTAAGAAAGCTCGTTCAGACAGATCACAGTGCGGCCCAACTTGATAAGGAGGTTGGTACTTGTCAGCAACAAGCAAGTCCCCCAAACGGCAGGGTGACAGGCAGCCACCTAAACCAGTTCCAGGGCCTGATGTCCAGACTGTGGAGAAGTGATTCCCAAGGCACGTCAGACTGTGCGGTGGGGTGTCCGTGCACCTGTGCCTGGCCCCCCCAGTCCTGTGGACGGCAGAGGTGGCTGCCCCCCGAGGGGGTGTCTGGTGCTCACAAGGCACCGTCTCTGCCAGCGTGCAGGACACAACAGCCCTGGGGCCTTGCTGGCTGCTCTTGTGTTGCTAAGTTGTGTCCGACTCTTCGTGACCCCACGGACGGCCTTGCTACCTTCCCTGGGCCCTGAAGGATGGGGCCGCCTGGAGCCCCAGCAGGGGGACCCCAGATGGGGAGGGCTCGGGGAGGGCAGGACTCTTGAAGGGAGGGGGAGCTCCTCTGGCCCAGCTGTGGGGCAGGACCAGTGCAGAGCCTGGAGGACAGGCCTGGGCCACAAGGGTCCCCCTGGAGCCCTGACTTCTTGGACTCGCTCGGGCCCCATCACCCTCCTTTCCTGTTTCGCCTTTCGAGGGGCACGGTCCGTCCTGTTCGCCCCACGCCGTCGCCTGTCAGGGGCGTGTGGCGTGTCTGGCTGCAGGGGTGCACAGCTGGACGGACGCTGCCTCGGGACAAGCCACGCCTCGTGCCCCTGTAGACCTCATCTCCCCGGGGAATCCAGCACGGCCGCCACGCCCCCAGGCTGGCTGGGGTCCTCACTCAGGCCGGCCCTCCTCGCACTCCCAGCACTGGCACCCCCAGCCCCCCGCGATGCCTGTGTGCCCAGCTGTGTGACTGTGCTGTGGCGGCAGTGCGGACCCTGCTCTTGAGCACAGCCGCCCTCACCCTGTGTCTGCTTACGTTCCTGGTGAAACCAGCTGCGCCCCCGTCCCCTCCAAGAGGGCGAGACAGGGAGGAGTAGGGCCCAACAGAGACCGCGTCACTGAGAAGAGAAATGTTTGTGCACACAGGCTGAAGCGTTTGAGACAAATGGCACCGTGTGGAATTCAGTGTGAGACGCTCCAGCCACGAGAAGGGAGAGCACATGAACCACGGGTGTGGGGCCCGCGCCGGCGGACGCGGGGCGAGGGCTGAGGGTCAGTGTGTGTGTGTAAAATCCCACTGTAAGCAGAGGAACAAATGAAGGTGTGTATTACTGAGACTCAGGTCACACTCACCTAACGATGCTTGGACTCACAGCCACCCTCGTGCTATGGGAACACCCTCTGTCCATTAGGAAATGGGGTCCTTATGCGCTCAGCTCTTAAAAATAATCTATGTCTTCAGCCTACTACTGACTACTGAAGACTCGTAAGTATTTTGGTGGTGGTTTAGCTGCTAAGTTATGTCTGACTCGTGTGATCCCATGGACTGTAGCCCACCAGCTCCTCTGTCCATGGGATTTTCCAGGCAAGAATACTGGAGTGAGTTGCCATTTCCATTTCCAGGGGATCTTTCAGACCCAGGAATTGAACCCAGGTCTCCTGCATCGCAGGCAGATTCTTTACTGACTGAGCTACGAGGGAAGCATCTTATCAAAACTGCAGAAAGAAATGAGATAATGTCACCCCTTTAAAATTTTTTAGGGAAGAGACTCTGAAAACAAATAATCACCAGCAGATGAAAGAAATATAGTTTACGCAAGTGGTAATATCGAAAATGCTCACCCATAAAAATAAAGGCCTTTTATTTGGTTTCTCTATGCCATTACAAGAGACGTGGCCACACCCTTGAGCCCAGGGTGACCGACCTGTGGCCACACCCACACCTGTGGTGCAGTGTCCCCATGCAGGCAGCGCCACCTGGGGTCACGGGGTCACCTTCTTGTACGTGACGTGCAGATGTTGAGTCATGGGCTGCGTAGTGGTTGCCATGGAGACTGTCTGTTCAAGTTTGCCTTCGGAATTCAGCCTGAATTTTCGGGTAATCTGAGCAGAAGAAAACAAACACTTTGGTCTTTATCGTCCAAAGATTCCACAAGGGCTGCCAGGCCAGCACAGACCACGCGCTCCTGCAGCAGCCGCAACACTCACCTCAGCAGTCAGGGGCCCGTGAGCCGGGCAGTGCCCCTGCCAGGGGGCAACACACCCTTGGCTGGCAGCCCCGACGGATGTCCTGACCCCTGGCCTGGGCCCTCTCCCGCCCCCCAGCTGCCCCGGGAGGCGGGAGGCGAGCAGGGGCATTGTCCTGCTGTCTGGCCACAGGCTGACCCCAGGGTGTCCTTTCTACTCCTCCTGATTTCTATCCACAGCTGGCATGGAAGCTGGAGGTGGGACCCCGCTCCACCAGTGCCAGATCTCCAACAAGAACACAGACCCGAGGCAACCAAGTCCCGGAAAGGAACCCATTTGCCACCAAGCTCTGTTAACAGTGGGCTTCACAGGTGGCGCTAGTGGTGAAGAACCTGCCTGCCGATGCAGGAGGCGGAAAGACCTTTAACAGAGGGAGAGCACCTCCAGCTGTTGCCACGTGGAGCCCCAAGTGGGGCTGCGGGCCCCTGAGCGTCAGAACAGGTGTGCTGACCAGGCCAGACAACCGCTTTCACTCACCAGCCCTCCGCAGAGGAAAGAGCAAAGCCCGATGTCAGAGAGTCCATTTAAAGGCCTCAGAGAACCCAGCCGGGCTGACAGGCCACGGTCTCAGGGAGAAGGCATGCGCGGAGGCTGCCTGGGGAGCAGGGGGCCCCCGAGCCCTGGGGCTGCGCAGCACGGGTTGGGACCCCTGCAGGGCTGCACCCCGGAGTCAGAGTTACCCAGAAACACACGGGCAGATGCAGTTTCAAAGAAGCTCCGTCTCCAGTGAGCAGGGGCTGCCCTTCCTGGCCCAACCTCGAGAAGCAGAGATCTGCTGGCTGCAGGAGGTAATGTCAAGGAAAGCCTCACGTCACCCACTGTTCCCATACACGAGTCTGCAATTCAGGGAAGTCACAGAAGGGATGGAACCAGAGGAGAACGGAGGGACATCCTCAAAGCCATGAAAGTGACCATCCCCCTGCTGTTCTGGCTGCAAAGCACCCTTCGAAGATGACGGCAAAACATACATTTTCAGACAAAAGTCCAGACAATTCATCACCAGGAGGACCCCCATCTTCCTTACAGAAAATACCAGAGGAAGTTCTTTAGGTTTTAAAGAGAGATGTGTGGAACACCGTGGAACCCTATGACACACGGTCAGACCCTGTGTGGTCTTGTGTGTGCATGAGGGCAGCAGGGGCGGTGGTGGAGGCCACGTGGTCAGGGTTCAGGACCGCCGGCCCCCCCCCGCCCCGGCCTCTTGAGACGCAGGGGCTCAGGCCTGACCCACACCTGTGGCCTCGGAATCACCCCCCTGCGCCCAGGACCACACCTGAACCATGGTCTGCATGGCACTGTCCCCGGGTCTTCCCACGGCCCGCCAGTGTCCCCGTCCCCGGGTCCCCCCACGGCCCGCCAGTGTCCCCGTCCCCGGGTCCTCCCGCGGCCTGCCAGTGTCCCCGGCCCGGGTCCTCCCGCGGCCCGCCAGTGTCCCCGTCCCCGGGTCCTCCCGCGGCCTGCCAGTGTCCCCGGCCCGGGTCCTCCCGCGGCCCGCCAGTGTCCCCGTCCCCGGGTCCTCCCGCGGCCTGCCAGTGTCCCCGGCCCGGGTCCTCCCGCGGCCCGCCAGTGTCCCCGTCCCCGGGTCCGGGTCCTCCCGCGGCCCGCCAGTGTCCCCCTCCCTGGGTCCTCCCACGGCCCGCCACTGTCCCCGTCCCGGGTCCTCCTGCGGCCCGCCAGTGTCCACTGTCCCTGAGGAGGCAGAGGGAGGGCTGCCCACCCGGGAGCGCACTCGGGGCTCTGCTTACGTGGCCCGCCACCAAGCAGGTCTGCAGGGACCACCTGCTCGGCTCCTCTGGGCTTTGTGGCCCCTTGGATGAAATTTCTTGTGCTGTTTCCCTCTTCAAGTGAAAGCTCTTTGAAAGAATCCACAGCGGGGGCAGGTTGTACGTAGCATCTCTCATGCCCCATGGCCAGCGCTGGGCTCACCAACAGTGACGGGTGGTCACCCCACGGCTCTGCTCAGGGTGAGGATCCCTCTGGGCTGCAGACTGACCTCCTTCAAACAAGGCAGGGCTGGAAGCAGCTGTCTGCCTCTGTAGCCTCAAAGCGGAGCTTGTCCGGGCTCCGGGGTGCTCAGAGCCATGGGGGCCTCCTTCCGGAGAGAAGCCTGCCCAGCTGGAAGCTCAACTCTGCTGGCAGACAGCGGGTCAGGAGGCCCAGGAGCCCTAGAGGTGCTGAGAGTCACCGCGACGCGGACGCGCGTGCTCCTGTCAGCCAAGTGAGTGCGGCCTCCATAGCACAGACCCTGAGATGCGACTGCGAAGGCCAGTCTGATGCTGCAACTCCTCCATGTTTAGCGCCCTTCCAGAGTGGGCTTCTCTTCTTCCTGTTATGTCTTGTCCACACAAAGGCTTTAGCGTAGTCAATGAAGCAGAAGTAGATACTTTTTTGGAATTCCTTTGCTTTCTCTTTGATCCAACAGATGTTGGCAATCTGATCTCTGGTTCCTCTATCTTTTCTAAATCCAGCTTGTACATCTGGAAGTTCTTGATTCACATATTGTTGAAGCCTAGCTTCAAGGATTTTGAGCATTACTTTGCTAGCGTGTGCAATGAGCGCAATTGTACAGTAGTTTGAGCCTTCTTTGGCATTGCCCTTCTTAGGGACTGGAATGAAAACTGACCTTTTCCAGTCCTGTGGCCACTGCTGAGTTTTCCAAATTTGCTGGCGTGTTGAGTGCAGCACTTTCACAGCATCATCTTTTAGGATTTAAAATAGCTCAGGTGGAATTCCATCACCTCAACTAGCTTTGTTCATAGTGATGCTTCCTAAGGCCCACTTGACTTTGCATTCCAGGATGTCTGGCTCCAAGTGAGTGATCACACCGTTGTGGTTATCTGGGTCATTAAGATCTTTTTTGTATAGTTCTTCTGTGTATTCTTGCCACCTCTTCTTGATCTCTTCTGCTTCTGTTAGGTTCTTATCATTTCTGTCCTTTATTGTGCCCATCTTTGCATGAAATGTTCCCTTGGTATCCCTAATCTTCTTGAAGAGATCTCTGGTCTTTCAAATTCTATTGTTTTCCTCTATTTCTTTGCATTGTTCACTTAAGGCTTTCTTATCACTCCTCGCTATCCTTTGAAACTCTACATTCAGATGGGTGTATCTTTCCCTTTCTCCTTTGCCTTTAACTTCTCTTCTTTTCTCAGATATTTGTAAGGCAGGTCAAGAAGAATAGTTAGAACCATGAAACAATGGACTGGTTCAAAAAGGGGTATGACAAGGCTGTATACTGTCATCCTGCTTATTTAACATCATGTGAAATGCTGGGCTGAATGAGTCACAACCTGGAGTCAAGAATGTCAGGAGAAATAACAACCTCAGATATGCAGATAATACCACCATAATTGCAGAAAGTGAAGAGGAACTAAAGAGCCTCTTGATGAGGGTGAAAGAGGAGAGTAAAAAAGCTGGCTTAAACTTGACATTCAAAAAACTAAGATCATGGCATCCAGTTCTATCACTTCATGGGAAATAGATGGAGAAAAGTAGAAACAGTGACAGACTTCATTTTCTTGGGCTCCAAAGTCACTGTGGATGGTGATTGCAACCACAAAATTAAAAGATACTTACTCCTTGGTTGGAAGAAAGGCTATGACAAACCTAGACAGCGTATTAAAAAGCAGAGACACCACTTTGCCAATAAAGGTCCGCCTAGTCAAAGCTATGGTTTTTCCAGTGGTCATGTACAGATGTGATAGTTGGACTGTAAAGAAGGCTGAGAGTCAAAGAATTGATGCTTTTGAACTGTGGTGTTAGAGAAGACTCTTGAGAGTCCCTTGGGCTGCAAGGAGAGCAAACCAGTCCATCCTAAAGGAAATCAGTCTTGAATATTCATTGGAAGGACTGATGCTGAAGCTGAAGCTCCAATACCTTGGCCACCTGATGGGAAAAGCTGAGTCACTGGAAAAGACCCTGATGCTGGGAAAGGCTGAGGGCAGGAGGAGAAGGGGGCAGCAGAGGATGAGATGTTGGGATGGCCTCACTGACTCAGTGGACATGAGTTTGAGCACGCTCTGGGAGACAGTGCACGATAGGGAAGCCTGCCCTGCTTCAGTGCATGGGGCTGCAAGGAGCCGGATATGACTTCATGACTGAATGACACCAGTGTCTTGTCCAAGAGGGAAAAATGTGGAGAAGGACAGGCCGGGAGAGAGGAGGGTGTATCTGACTTTATTCTAGGTCCTAAAGTAAACCAGGAAGCCGCCCCACACGAGGGTGAGGCCTGACTGAGAGGTGGAGCCAGGTGTATCATGCAGTCCGATACACAGAGGGAACGGCTGCCGGGGACTCCTGCCAGCCTCCAGCGCACCTCTCACTGGGGAGCCCCGACACCTGCTCCTTCCCTGGCTCTGCCCTGCTTTACTGAGCTGAGACTGACATGGACACCGTATAGGTTCAAGTTTAAAGGTGATCACTTGACACATGTGTACAGCTCAATGTTTACCACAATACAGTTAGTTAACACATCTTTCCTGGGTGTGGTGAGATTCTTTAAGGTCCACTCTCCTAGCAGACTTCACACATGCAATGGAGCCCTGTTACCTGCCGTGCTGTGCTGCCCACAGCTCGCCCAGAGCTGGTTCACCTCCCACCTGGAAGCTCACATCCACTGAGCCACACCGGCGCACTTCTCCCACCTTCTTGTCTGTGTCTGTGAGTTTCCTTTTTTTAACTTCACACATAAACGAAATCATGCAGCACCTGTCTTGACATGTCACTTAATATGATACCCTCAAGGTTTATGTGTCCTGCTGCAAATGGGAGAACGTCCTTCTTTTCCACGGCTGCACCACAGTGCTCTATGGCGTGTGGGTGACACAACGCAGCTTGTCATCCGGTCGCCTGTGGACGCA